TGTCACAAGAGCAAAGAGACAACCTACAGAATGGGAGAAAATTTTTGCATGCTACAAATCTGATAAAGGGCTGATAACTAGAATCTACTCAGAACTCAAGAACATCAACAAGAAAAAGTCAAAGAACCCTATCAAAAAGTGGGCAAAGGACATGAACAGAAAATTTTCAAAAGAAGACAGAATAATGGCCAAAAAACATATGAAAAAATGCTGAATGTCTCTAATCATCAGGGAAATGCAAATCAAAACCACAATGAGATATCACTTATCTCCAGTGAGACTGGTCTTTATCAAAAAGTCCCAAAAGTATAAATGTTGGCATCGATGTGGAGAGATAGGAACACTCATACACTGCTGGTGGGACTACAAATTAGTGCAACCTCTGTGGAAAGCAATGTGGAGATCCCTTAAAGAGATACAAGTAGGGCTACCATTTGATCCAGCAATCCTATTACTGGGCATCTAACCCAAAAGAAGAAAAGTTGCTCTATGAAAAAGACACCTGCACCCAAATGTTTATAGCAGCACAATTCACAATTGCAAAGATGTGGAAACAACCCAAGTGTCCATCAATACATGAGTTATTAGTAATATGTGTTATATGTATACCATGGAGTACTATTCAGCTTTAAGAAACAATGGTGGTATAGCACCTCTTGTATTCTCCTGGAAAGAGCTAGATCACATTCTACTAAGTGAAGTATCAATGGAAAAACAAGCACCACATGCACTCACCATCAAATTGGTATTAATTGATCAGCACATAAGTGCATATATAAGGGTAACATATATTGGATATCGGGTGAGGGAACGGGGGAGGGGAGAAGAGGGGAGGGTTATATGCATACAGAAAGAGTGCGATGTGCACCATCCAGGGGATGGACACGCTTGAAGCTCAGATTTGCGGGGGGAGAGGGGTCTAGGACAACATACATAACCTAAACATCTGTACCCCTGTAATATGCTGAAAAAAAAGTTGATTTTAAATGTTTTCACCACAAAAAAATAAGTCTGTGAGGTGATGGATTTGTTAGTATGATTTCATCATTCCACAGTATAAACATATATCAAAATATTACATTTTAATCCCATAAATATATAAAAGTGTTTGTCAATTAAAAATAAAATTTAAAACAGCCAATGCCAACATGCTCAATATCATCAAAATCATCGAGGAAATGCAAATTAAAATCACCACAAAACCATTAGAATAGCTAAAATTTTAGAAAATGACAACATCAAATTTTGGTGCAGATATAGAGGAATTAAAAATTTCATATGTTACTGATAGGAGGGTAAAATGCTACAACTACTCTGGAAAATATTTTGGCAGTTTCTCATAAACATCCATCTATCATATGACCTAGCAATTGTACTTTTACAAATTAAGAGTAATGGCCCACTACCGTTAACAGTGCAACTTTCTATTAGCAGGTGAATGGAAAAGTAGATTGTGTTATATCCACACAATCAACTATGCTCAAAATAAAAAGAGAGAAACTATTGTAACACAAAACAACATGAATGAATTTTAAAACACTATACTGGAGGGAAAAGTCAGAAACAAAAATATGCTGTATCATTTTATTTATATGACTTTCTAGGTCAGGCAAAACTGACAGAATTAAAACTTTCCCAGAGAGGAGTAGAGGTGGAAATGACTGCAGAGGGTATGAGTGAAGTTTGGGGAATGATGAAAAGAATCTTAATTGTATCAATGTTTACATACATTTGTGAAAAATGATCAGCCTGTACAGTTGAAATGGGTACATTTTACGGATGTGGATTATATCCCAACAAAATTGATTTTTTTTTAAATGAAGAGGAAAGAGGGAGGACTTATTCTACCAAACAAATGTAACACAAAAATGTAATTAAAACAATGTGATATGGGTACAAGTAATTCAGACTTAAGTACGTAACAAACCCAAGTGTCATTTCTGCCTATCTTGTAATCAAGAAAATTTATGATATCAGCAGTACTGCTGCAAATACTGAATTACATCGAAGCATTCTACTCTGGGCCTTTTGAATTCATTATATTTTCAGGCCTTCCTCCTTAAGTGAATTATCAAAATCACGTAGTATTCCGGCTGCAATATTAACACAATATGTCTCACTGTACCACTGATTCCATTGTGAAGTAATATCCTAAAGGACATGTGATGGGTTGCTGGCACATTAATCTTCAATAAGACAATTATAAAATGTCCAAAAGTTAATCACAGATCTGGAAAGAATTTATATATTTAGTCTGGAACTCAAAAGCTTATTGTAGACTCCTCTTTTTCCCATCATCAATAATTGTTTGTGGTGCATTTTAAATATGTTCAAAACTCTTCCACCTATAAAACCTAGACAGAATTTTCCTTTATGTATTTCAGCATAATTTCACTTACTGTCAATAGTCTGCATCATATTCAGTCATATTTGAATTATATAACATTTATGAAAAAGATGAACTAAAACAAGTTTATTAATCAATTTTCCTTGTTATCACTTACTTCTGCAGTACCACAATCGCAGACTTCATTTTCCTCCACTTTGTTATTGCCACAGACTGCTTGCCGCTGCCATTGCATTGGTGGCTTATTTTGAAGACATCTGCTACCCACGTTTGAAGTGAAATGTTTAAAGTCACTCAAACTGCAACTGCTGAATCTCTTCACACCACTGGATTTCCTAAAGATGAATCCATATAATGTTGTTGGCAGTGTGCTTCTGCAAACACTATTCTATAATACATAAATTAATTTCAATTTTTTTTTTTTTGAGACAGAGTCTCGCTTTTTTGCCCAGGCTAGAGTGAGTGCTGTGGCATCAGCCTAGCTCACAGCAACCTCAAACTCCTGGGCTCAAGTG